CTCTCTGTCTTTCCTGCTTCCTCTCCCTCTTCTAAAATGTTTCTCAGCTCCTTGAAGGAACAGAATGTACCCAGTGTCATTTTCTGTTCAAATAACTCTCTTGAAGAAGTCATAAACTTCTCCTCTGGACCTGAACAAATATCTGTTGCTTCTAATGGAACTCTCTCTGTCTCCCCAGAGCAGTCACCCCCTGATTTACTGCGCAATCTGTATGGAAAGCCGGGTGACCTAATTCTGCTTCCATTTTCCCCCATGAGGAGGCCGGCAGGGAGGCTCCAGCGCTCGTGGTGTGGCCTCTCCAGCTCGGGAAGTGGGGCCCTGCATCCCTGTCACAGTGCCCGCTGAATCTGTGCCTGGGGAAATGAAATTGTCTGGAGAAGACCGTTATTTAAGAGAAAGATTTCTGTAGCAGCCCTGGCAGTGACACCAGAATGATGGCTTTTTCGACGTCAGAGAAGCCCCTCCCTGCCACCTCTGCCCACCCCCACGTGCCGAACCAAACACCCATGACGCATTTCACTGTGGTGCCAGCCTCCTGCCCCCCAAGTTTTACATTCTGTGCTCTGCCTCCCGAGCAAAAGTGGAGTTCCTCAGAGTGGGGTATTCTGAGGCTCACCCACAAATCTCTGGGCCGTTGAAGTAACATCTGTTGAGGCCTGGCCTGATTTCCTTCTGCCCCTCCCCCAGCTCCATCACCAGCCACCACTGTCCCTTTCCTCTGCCAGCCCTTGGCCACCACGTGCCCCTCTGCCTCCAACCCTGGCCTGCTCCAAAGCCCCACCTCTTCCAGCATCCAGTGGGCAGGTCTTCCTCCTCTTCCAGCTCCCAAGTACCCCATAGACCTGCCTCTTGTACCACCCAGCCACCACCTCCCCACCTCCCCCAGCACCCTCATCTACCTCAACTTCTCATTTATCCACCTCTTTACCTGCCCCAGCTCCCTTGTTGTTGTTTTGTGTACCTTCTCTACAGAACCAACACATAGCTGGCCCTTCAGTGAGTTTTTAGAGGCACTAATCACAGGGGAAACATTCTTTTAGGTCGTGTAGCCCTGGTGTGTCCACTTGCTATACAGAGGTAACTTGTGGTTGCTGTGAAGCTGAACACCAGGACACTGACATGTCACATGCGACAACGGTTACCCATGGTAGACAGTGTTTGGTGGAACTCTCCAACTAAAACAAGCTTGGAAGCAGGAGTGGCATCCACTTCTGCAGTAGCTTGCCTCCGGAAACCCTATGAACCTGGAGAAAGGATGAAAGTCACACAAGTATCAAGGACTTTCATTCATAGGGTCGCTATGAGTCACAAGTGACTCGATGGCACATAACAACAACAACAACAATCACAGGAGGGGATTGCCCACCTTTCTCTCATGGAGCAACCCGGTGTTCCTTTGGGTCAGCCAAGCAACTCCTGGCCACCAGAGCCCCATCTGCCCTAAATCACAGTCACCCAGCTCTCCGCTAACCTCAGGTCCCCACTGTCCGGTGCACTGTGAGCTCTGCTAACCTCAGGTCCCCACTGTCCCGTGCACATGATCAAGTCTCTCTAGTGTTGGCCTGGCAACTGCTGTTGTTAGGTGTCCTCAAGTCAGCCCCAGCTCACAGGGCCCCGTGTACAGCCGGACTAAGCCCCACCTGACCCTGTGCCATCCTACACATCTCTGCTGACCTTGAACCCATGATTGTAGCTACTGCGTAAATTCGTCTCATTGCGGGTCTCCTCTTTCTAAGCACTGACCTAAGATGATCTGTTTAGTCATAGAATGCCTGTAGTTGTTGGAAAGTCTAGGGGAAAAGCAGCCATTTCTCTAGCTTGGCGCTTCACCTGCTTGGCCAGAGAGTGACGGATGCTCCTGAGGGCCCTCTGAGGACTGGGGGTTCCCTGAGGGGGGGCCTGTCATCAGTGTAGGGCAGGCAGGAGGACCAGAGCTGTTCAGACCCCGCTGTGACAGTGCCTGCCCTGTGATGCGCCCTTTACCCTATGAAAGGAAAGTTGTCTTAGGCATTTGAAAAAGCAAACCACATGGGTTATTCTCTTAATGTCCAGCTGCCCCGTTGCATCACCTGTTGCTGGCCGTGGGCATGTTTAAGGAATTGGCGCATAAATGAATGGTGTTTATGGCGAGGAGACTCCGTAGTGATGATTCCATGAGCAAGGCATGTTGGGAGGGAAGCAGGGAGAGCCTGGACAGTTTTGCCAAAGGGTAGAAGTTTATTGTTGTAGTTTGAACAGACTCGGTGGCACACACCAGCAGTAATGGGTAGTAACGCACTGTGGTGACAAAGGGCTCAGGACATCAGAATCGAGAGCATGTATGTATCAGGCAAAACAGAAATCTGACATAAATATTGCATTTAGACCCTCAGTGAAATCTCAGCATGTCCCTGGCTATTTAAGAATATTTGACACAAGGCCTAAATGTGGGATGGGGAAGGGTGTGTGTGCGTGTCTGCACGTGTGTGTCTGTGTGCGTGCGGTGTGTGCGTGTGTGTGTGGGCACACACCTGTATCAGTATGAGTCTGTTACCGCTGGGGACCAGGCCTCGAGATCCCCATGGGGACGTCTCCCATGTCTGCCCACCATGGCCGTATAGAGGGCGTGGATGGCTGCTGTCCCTTCTTTCCTCTGCAAGCCCTCCTCCCCTCCAGCACCTGATTACTTCAAATTTTACTGTTACTTTAATAGCTTATGAACTTCCATTTTTTTCCTTTAAAACTGAAATATATTTAGATTTCAGAAAATAGTTTTTAAAGTAATAATATTTAGTCCAATTTAGCCAATATTTTTATCCTTCAAATTGAAAATGATATATTATAAGAAAGTAGATTGGATCTAAAAACCATCCTTAATAAATGAGACTGAGGAGATGGGGAAAAAAAAAGAATATTTGAAAATGATGGCATTTTATTTTCCTCCGAAAGCAGTTGTCACTTTAAATGGACACTTGTTTTGGTAGTGGGCTGTATCGAGCGTCCCATACAAGATGTTTTACAGCAGGTCAATAACAGCTTTTACTTTGTTAATATTAACACAGAGCCTCATGAGGGGAGCTCGGTTTGCGTAGTCTGTCCGGAGTTGAGCTGCTAACTCGCTGTGACTCTCGGGTGGTTAGGGTCCACCGGGGGCCATGAAGGAGGACGAGGTCCAGTTTTCTCCTGCGCCGTTGACAGCCTTGGAGAGCTGAGGGAGTGTGAGCTGTGTTGGTTCCCCCTTGATGGCAAAGAGGGAGGGAGTGGGCATCGTAAAGGTCTGACAGACCGTGCTGATAACTGGCAGCAGACTCCTTCACCATTAACTTTTAGAGTTCAGGTCTAGGGAAAAGTTTTCAGTCAGGAAGTATATTTTCATTATCTCAGCTATAATTGGAAGAAATTGCCTCTCTTTCTTCCAAGTGGCTGCTGGTGGATTTGAACTGTCAAAGAGGTGTCGCCTAGCAGTGCAGCTCCCTAGGGACCCCAGTGCCAGGACTTCGTGTGTGTGTGTGTGTGTGTGTGTTGTTGTGTGCTGTGGAGTTAGAACTGACTCATAGCTGATCCTCTAGTGGGTCTCGAAGGTTATAAGCAGCACTGGAGAAGAGTGTCCATCTCTTCCCCCCTGACCAGCTGGTGGATTCAAACCTCGTGCCCTCTCTGTGCGTGTACATGTGTGTAAAATATAATCGTTCTTAAAAATTCTTAAAATTTTATTATGCTTCAAGTGAACTCTAAAAAGCTGGAGGCTTTGAACCACCAACCTTTTGGCCAACGGGAATAATATCCCTTTTGTCTTGTGCTCTGCCTCATTTTGAGGAAGTTCCTGTAGTTATGGGCGCCCCTGGATGGGGACACCTGGCTAACATGCTTGGCTGCTTACTGGAAAGTCAGACGTTTGAGTCCACCCAGAGGTCCCTCCGAAGCAAGGCCTGGTGATCTGCTCCTGAAAAGTCAGCCCCTGACAGCTCCGTGAAGCACCGCTCTGGTCTGACTCACCTGGGCGCCAGGTGGACTCCACAGCGGCTGGTCATCTGCGGCTCTGCTTCCCGTGGCTTCTACGCTGGAAGTCCCTGCTGGTCCTTCTAGAGAAGCTCTCAGATCTGAAATCCTGTCCACTCCGCCGCCACAAACCCAGTTTGCCCAGTGGCCTCATTTGCCCTTGGCTGTCTCTGGCCAGTCCTGCGGACGGACGGAGGCGCTGGTTGCTTGGCAGACTCGTGCTCTGCACGTCCGGCCTGTGTTCTGAGGCCTCAGGGCTCATGGCCGTCAGCTTCATGGCACCAGGACGGGCAGCCTGGTCGCCTTCGGACGGCACTAGAGGCATTGGAAAGGAAGCTGTTTTGTCAGCTCTGCTCCCTGGCCTTGCCGGGCGGGTTTGGGAGCAAGTCAGCATTTTCTTCTCCTGAATGTCCTCCAGAGCACCCCTCAGCACGGGACTTGCCCCTCAGATGCTGATTCAGCCCCCTTCCTGGCTGGTTGGTGTGGAGAGTCTCTTTCTACATGGTAGACTCCCCAGGCTGCCATCTTTACAGCACCGGGTTGCCAGGCCTTACTTCTGCAGCACCCTGGGATCAGGTACACCAC